GTTGCCCACGTCGTGGAGTCGATCCTATCCCCTTCCATGGACGAGACGTCTGTTGCCAAGCCTAAAAACCCATCAGTCATGGTCCCACGTCGTGACCATCTGTGCCACGTCGTGGCCAGCCTGACAGCCTCGGATTTTGTGTCTCGAACTTGTAAAATCCGTAACTTCTGCGTACGAGCTCCCTTTTCGACGTTCTATATATGCACGCGTAGGTGAGAATATGCTCTACAACTCTCGTTTAGATTTCGTCGGCTAATTTTGACTTTATTTTTAATTAATTATTTTTAACAGGCCGGGACACGAAAACTCCGTCATAAATCCATAACTTCTTCATCCGACGTCCGTTTTCGTCAGACTTTTTACCGTTGCACTACTATTGTTAAGATCTTCGATTCTCATTTAGGTTGTTTCGGCCAAAAGTCTCTCGATCTCTATTTCGAGTTTTTAGCTGTCTATTGCTATATCCGGAACTTGGAAAAATCATAACTTCCTCATACGAAGTCAGATTTGGACGTTCTTTTCACGTACGTTTACGGTTTAATGAAATCTATAACTTTCATTTAGACCGAAGTCTGGAACTGACTAGGGCCTTGCCCACTGTATCGGACCGAAGTCCGGAACTGCATCGGACCGAAGTCCGGAACTGACTGAACATAGCATAACATAATCATAACATATAATATGAACACATATGCTGCATACTGCATCGGACCATAGTCCGGAACACATAACACATACCATGCCTGTATCACAAAGACACCAAGCATACTGAACTACTGCATCAGACTGTAGTTCGGAACTACTGCTAACTAAACGGGCCGACATTGTGGCCGTAGACCCGTTCCTACTGGAAGGAAAACTCACCTCGTAAGGTTGGCTGCTGAAATGCTGCTCGGGAACTGTCTGACTGCTGCTCCGGTAACTCCCCGGCTACAATTCCCAAAAGACACTTAATCAGACACTGATAACTAATCTTAGGTTACAATGACTATTTTACCCCCTGGTCAAGGTCAACAATCCGTTGACCTGACTTGCCGAGTTGGGCCGCCAACTCGTCGAGTCCCTATCTTTCCTTCTACTCCCCTTCCCGACTCTACTCGTCGAGTTTAACCAAAACTCGACGGGTTCTCCTTCTTTACTGATATCCTGCCAACCTTCATCTGACTCGACGAGTTGTATGATCAACTCGTCGAGTTCACCTTCAACATAAGAACACGTCCAGTCTGTGACTCGCCGAGTTGTATGAACAACTCGTCGAGTCTGTTCTTACGGGTAAGGAGATTGCCTTGGACTCGCCGAGTTAGGGCGTAGACTCGCCGAGTCCCTCTACACTCAGATCCATGTATTAACTCACTGCGTCTTTACTCCATTCACTAAACAGACTCGCTACTACTGAACATGGAATCTAAGACTCGCGACCTGACTCGCCGAGTCAGAAGAACGACTCGCCGAGTCCTTTGCATGCAGTTTCTATTCAGTCGATTCTAATCAGTTTTTGTGCATCCAATTCATAGATCTGGGTTTATGGGACTATCTGAACACGTAAAGTTGCTAACTTTACGTGTATCTATGATGCAATGAAGCAATAACACTCAAACTTGGCTATTATGGGGGTTACTTGTCTAGAACAAAGCCATGGCTGCCAAAAGGTGGCCTTCTTGAGCTCCTGGAACTCAAGAGAGGCTAGATCCGAGATATGGCTTGATTACGAAGCTTCATCACTAGGGATTTGGGGTTTTTGAGCTCAAAACCATCAATTTGGGGACAAACTAGATCTAGCAATACAATAACCAAGATGAAAGCTTTATTACCAGAAAGGATGGCCAAAGAGGAGTATAATCTGGATCTACTTCTTCTTCCTTGAGTTCTTCTACCTTCTCCTTCTTCTTCTTGCTCAACAATGCACCAAGATTCATTCACAAGGGCAAAGATCACTCACACACACTTCAAGGAGGCTAGGGTTTCGGGAATAAGTCTCTGAGAGGTGAAGGAGGCTGGTTTGGGGCTATAATGGTGTTTAAATAGGGTACACTCCTTGAAAATTAGGGCTTCATCCAGACTGGCGGCCTCCCCGAGTCCGGAATATGGACTCGTCGAGTCGCCACGCCAACTCCACGTGCTGACCCGCTGCTACTCGACGAGTTAGGGCCACTGACTCGTCGAGTAGCTTCTAAAATAAGAAGAAAAATAATGTTTTAAATGCATACCAGGAACGGGGCGTTACATTCGGGCCCGCCCACACTCTGCTGTCTAGGAGATTCGGGCCCCGCCCACACTCCGCTGTCTAGGAGATTCGGGCCCCGCCCACACTCCACTACTAACATGCATACAAGTATCACACATACAACACGTATATTTAATTCTATCAAGCAGTCACATATCCATACTCAAATAATACTATGAGATTCGGGCCCCGCCCACACTCGGTTACTATGAGATTCGGGCCCCACCCACACTCGAATAATAATGAGATACAGGCCCCACCCACACTCTCATACATAAGCAAACACATACAAGTATCACACAGACAACAAGTATAGCAATCCAACAATCTGACTGATATCTATACTCTGATAATAATTAGATACGGGCCCCGCCCACACTCCGTGTTCCCGTTAAGAACATATAAACTATACGGGCCGACATTGGTGCCTTAGACCCGTCCCTACTGGAAGACGACTCACCTTGTACTGCTGGAGTCCCGCTTATAAATCTCTGGCTGCTAGCTGACAGATCCCTAGACTGTCAACATCAAAATAAAACCCCATTAACCATTTGGGTTTCTGTTAGGTGCATTTCATGCACCCATTTTGTAGTTTTACTCCATAAAAGTGCATTGCATTTAGGTTTAAACTCATGCATTTTGCATATTTTTCGGGATTTTTCATGATGCAATTCCATTCACACACTTTTGTGATATTTCAGGGACTTTTGAAGGTAGGATCTTAGTTGAGGTGATGAATAAGAGATTTGGATGAAGTTTCGGGACTTGTGGAGCATCGAGGAGGAAGATATCAAAGAAATGAAAATTTTGGCTTTTCAGAGGTTTACACGACCGTGTAAATGTTTACACAAGCCATGTAAACGAAGTCTCTCGAGCATTGTACTTTGAAAGCCTGGCCAATTTTCGCAGTGTACTTTTTGCATTTACACGGCCGTGTAAACGTGGTCACGGGTTTAAAACAGTTTTTCTTCTTTCTAAAAAGGAGCAACCGGTTCCAGAAAAAGGGGGGTCGATTTTGTGAGTTCTAGAGGCGATTTTGGGGAGCATTTTGAAGGCAATTGTTGCTTGAAAACACTTGGGAACATTTGATTTCACTTTGTAAGAACTTTAATTTCATTTTCTAGACTTGTGATCTTGTTCTAGTCATGAGTGGCTAGAACCCTAGATTCTCCAACTTTATGTCTTGACTTCTAGTTGTGATTTCAATCATATGACTTGATGTTTGCTTTTAATTTTCTATCTAGTGAATTTGATTTTGTTTCAATTGAATGTTTGATTCTAATTGTGATTCTTTTTGGCCAATTGAGTTAGGGTTAAATCACTCATGTTGTCTAATTGCAAAATCCGTAATTGTTTTGTAAAATAGAACAAGTAACAGGTATTAAATCATACTACTTGCAATGATTATAGTACAAATCAAATTCACACATTCTAACACTCCCAAGCTTATGAGGATTATTGAATGTTGTTGGTAAAATTCACATAAAACATAGTGCAATCTTTCACCTATTCTAAGAACTTGTTTAGATTAGGTTAGTTAGATTAGAATTAATTAAAAAGCTTATTTTAATTAATTAAAATGGTGAATGTGAATTGCTAGAGCTTATTAGCATTTCTAATACCAACTTAGATGGAATTAAACAAATATCATTTCATATTTTGAATCACATTGCTAATTAGTCTTGCATAGAGTTGGAGTACTTACAAATATTGAATTTATTTTACTTAATTAATTAATATTTATTACTTCAGTCCTTTATTTGAATCATTGTATCTAAACCCCCCCTTTTGTGATCTCATTTGTACCTTACGCAAAAAGGGTATAAGCACTTATCTCGTGTCTCTGAGGATCGACCCTACTTACCTTGTATTACATTTTTAGTACAAAGTAGTAGTGGTTAAGGAGTTATTTTTACCCCTTTATTTGTTAGCTTTGACACGCCTAACAAATTGGCGCCGTTGCCAGGGACACGGTGTTACTAATTGTTTATGCCAAGATTTTTGTGAGCAGGTACATCTCTATTAAAAAAAAAAACAAAAAGTGTCACTCAGAAATGAATACTCCTTACATTGAAGACCAACTTTCTGAGCTAGCTCAGTTGGTTATGATGATTGGAAATGATCAAAGTGTGCAGCCCACACTTATTCATTGTGATTTTTGCACTCAAAATGGACATCACACCAACATGTGTCCATATTTACAAGGGGAATGGGAGGAAGTGCAGGAAAGGGGAAACTACTACTGGACAAACCAATGGAGTTATGATCAACCTCAACATGATCAATGGTGGGAAAACAACCAAGCTTGGGGAAACAACCAATGCCAAAACCCATACAAAGCTTGGGGAAATGACCAATACCAACCAACTCCACAGTTCCAACAACAATATCCTCCACCTCCCTAACAAATGTCCAAGGTTAAGTGTTTAGGTCCATTAGGGTTCTACTAGGCCGGGCACCACCCACTGCCACCTCGGGCAGTGGTGGTCGGTGGTGGCTCACGGTGGCAGCCACCATTTCCAATGGCGGTGGCTTATAATCTTGACTCAACTCCATCAAAACACCCGAAAAACAACATACACCCTACTACGCTCACACACGCGCACACAACCACCATCATACGGCGACGGGTGGTGGTAAAACGATGAAAGCCACCATCTCACGGTATTAAAAATTAATAGTTTATAAAGTTTCAAATATACAAGGCCTGAATTTAAAAATTTTAGAAAAATATAAAATAAGAAAATATTACGTTAGTCTTCATATTCACGGCTGACAAAAGCAGATCGTTTGATTCTCCTCCAACCGCTGCTTCCAATTCTCTCTCTCCCGCGAGACGCAGACGAATACATTGGCAAATCACACACGAATCTCTGTTCTCGTTTGTTTCAGCTCCAATTTATTGATCTTACAATTTTTTCAGTGGAATGCTGATGTTTTCCAGGAAATAGTCGAGGTTTCTTTCCGAGTGTCTGTTGCAGGATAGAAATTGAATTCGGGTGATTCACAATCTTGTCTTTTCGTTGTTTTCAGTGTCCGATACAATTAATTAGGGTTTCTCTTGTTCTTGGATAGCAACTTCTGGTGAACCGAGTTGCTAAATTGAGTAATCTCGAATTCCAACCGGTTGATTCGGAAAATATAGAATTTGTATGGACTGGGTACATCGGATTGATCGGAGTACTCTTTCGTTCCTTTGATCTTCCGGTGGTCGGAAAAATTATCGACTCGTTTTCTTAATCTGTTAAGTCCAGACGTTTTTGATTTGTTGGTCTGGAGGTTGGTGCGAAGTTAGGGTTTTCTTTTGGTATGAAAAAGCGGGTTTCGATGAATATGCGTTGTTTCTAAGTGCGACAATGATACAGCAGACGGTGAGATCCAAAATGCCTAACGTCAAACGCTGCGAATTGGAGGAAATAGATAGCGAAGAAACGGAAGATGAATATGATCATCTTGCTAAGAGTTTTACGAAGAAACAGAGAGGAGAAATTGAGTTTGCTGCAAGTTCTTATAACGAGGATGGTTTTTTAGGCTACGATAATGCTGTTAACTCGTGGTGCGATGGAGTTCCGTATATCCCTGGTGAATTGAAATCAAATTTGGGTTCAGTTTCGTTACTGAAATCTTCGCGAGGCCGTGTTGCTGTTCGCCCTTTAAGGTTTACTGATAACAAAAGTTTGAAAAAGCGTGGGAATCCGTTTTCTGATAGGGAATTAATATCTAAAAGACAGTGTCTCGAAACAGGGTATCAGGGGGGTTTTAACAATGCTGCAAGTCGAATTTATACCAGTTCACCTGGCTCTGCAACTTTATTTGGTAATACAGTTGATAAAAGCCACGAGAGAGCCATAGAGACGTTGAAGAATGAAAAAAGGAAGGGTTTTTATGGAGTTGAAGATTTTGTTACCGGTGATATTGTTTGGGCAAAATGCTCAAATCGGTTCCCAGCTTGGCCGGCGATTGTAATTGACCCACTACATGAAGCTCCTAAATCTGTACTAAGGGCTTGTGTTCCCGGCACTCTTTGCGTCATGTTTTATGGGTATTCAAAGAGAGGTCAAAGGGTAAGCTTTCTTTGCTAGCTGCATCCTGCATGTTTTTTTTTTTTTTTTTTTATTCTCTCGTTAGTTTACTTAATAAACTTGCAATCTAGTCTCTTTCCCTCTATATTTTCTTGTTTAAAAAAAAAAAAAAAAAACTCGGGATGCCTTATTTACTGAAATATCTGTGAAGATGCTTATAAAAGATTGGTTTTTCTTTTCTTGTACACGGGAAACACTCATGTAAAGATGGTATACTTTGGTATTGCAATTTATGGTCTAGCTTATGTTGTTTTGATGTTTAGGATTATGCATGGGTGAAGGATGGGATGATCTATCCCTTTTTAGACTATATGGAAAGGTGTGTGTTATACAGTTGAGGCTATGAGCCATATCTTAGTTTGTTAGGGGATATAAAGATCTTTTAATCAAGCTAAGTTTTTTGTTCAGGTATCGGGGACAAACTCAATTATATGGTTGCAAGCCAGGTGATTTTCGTATGGCAATAGAAGAAGCGTTCTTAGCAGAAAATGGCTACTTGGATTCAGGCTATGCAGAATGTTGTAGCATTAAGATCCCAATGGCAAGCGTTTCAGATCAGCATCAAGAGTCTTGTCGTCATAAGCAAGCAAGTTGTTGCTTTCATCAATAATTATAATTCTTTTAGACATTTATATGAATCTTTGAAAGGTAGCTTGAATTGATTGGTATATATATGGTATATACCCTTTTGTAGAATGCCTATAGTAAGAAGGATACACAACCTTGTGGCAGCTGTGGTTTGTTTTTTCCTTGTAAAACAATGAAGAAAGCTAAGGGAATAACCTCTCAACAGCTGGCTTGGTGCGAACATTGTTCAAAGGTTTCTACACTTATATGACACACCTCATTATTTCCTATTTTTGTTGTACCTAATTGCAAACTTGCTGCAGTTACGGAAATCAAAACAATACTGTGGCATTTGCAAGAAGATCTGGCATCATTCTGATGGTGGAGATTGGGTGAGATTATTTTTCATTGCATTATTAAAAAATCATTGCCAGTTTTTGTCTACAAATAATGAGTAGTAGCATCAAACTTTTTTCTTTATTATGTCTAGATATGCTGCGATGGTTGCAATGTCTGGGTACATGCAGAATGTGCCAAAGTTTCCAGCAAAATTCTTAAGGTGTTTTATCTGATTTCTTAATGATGTTATTATTTGGTATCTTCATCTTACATGATTATATCACCTGAAGGATCTGGAGGAGATTGACTATTACTGCCCAGAATGCAAAGGGGAATCCACTGTTGTAGATAATAAATCTGAAGCACAACTCAGGTAGGTATCAGTTTCTTTATTCTTTCTTTTTGGGTTTATATATATATATATATATATATATATATATATATATATATATATATATATAGGTTATCTGATGATGTCATTCAACAGATGTTCAGAGAGTGTGTTGCCTGAGAAAATAAGTGTCATCTGTAGTGGCATGGAAGGGATTTACTATCCAAAACTTCATCTGTAAGTGAGTGGTGAATTTAGCAACTTGTTTCTGATACATGGTCACTTTAGTTCAATGATGGTGTATGGTACCTAATGTTTGAATTAATTAATGTTTAATTGATTTTGTTTTAGAGTTGAGTGTAAGTGTGGTTCATGTGGAACAAGAAAGCAAAGGCTTGGTGAATGGGAACGCCATACTGGTTGTAGAGCAAAGAAGTGGAAGGTCAGCATTAAAGTGAAGGGCTCAATGTTACCACTGGAGAAGATGGTCTGTACAACTTCAAGAAAGCATTGTGTTAATTAGCAAATGTTTTGATTTATATCACACTACTGACTTTAAATAATGCAGCTTTCAGGGTGTAGTGTTAATAGTGTTAAGGCTGTAGCAGTAGGTTTAGATGAAAAACAATTGTTTTCATTTCTTCAAGGTACCGTACGTTACAGTATATATTATTTTTGGTTGTCTTGTTTGTGTTATATTATATAAGATAATAGTATAAAAGAATGTTGATCTGGAAAAATGAAATTACAGACAAGTATGAGGCTGTGAATGCAAAGTGGACAAGTGAACGTTGTGCTATCTGTAGATGGGATGAGGACTATGACGTGAACAAAATTATTATATGCAACAGGTGTGAAATAGCTGTCCATCAAGAATGCTATGGGGTGAGAGACATCCATGATTTCACATCTTGGGTTTGTAGAGCATGTGAAACGCCTCAAGTTGAAAGAGACTGTTGTCTCTGCCCTATTAAAGGTCCACTCATACTTTTGCAATTGTTGAGTTGTTTGTTTGTAAATGTTATATAATAATATGATATAATATATGTTATGTTATGCAGGTGGTGCTTTGAAGCCAACTGATATAGAGAGTTTATGGGTTCATGTGATCTGTGCATGGTTCCGGCCTGAGGTTGCTTTTGCAAGTGATGAAAAAATGGAGCCTGCAACTGGTCTCCTCCGGATTCCACCTGAGTCTTTTGTCAAGGTAGGATTAGGAATAATTTTACTCATCTAAATTCTAGTTCTGACATCTTCTTGTCTTGGTGAAATAAATTTATGCAGGCATGTGTTATTTGCAAACAGGTTCATGGTTCTTGTATACAATGTTGCAAGTGTGCTACTTATTTTCATGCAATGTGTGCTTCAAGGGCTGGCTACTGTGTGGAGGTAATAAATTTGTGCACTTACTTTTTCTATAAAATACGTATCTCATTTGTTTGTGTTCAGCTGCACTCATCAGAGAAGGGTGGCATATATAACACCAGATGGACTCCATACTGTGCTGTCCACAGGTAAGGCTAGGTTTCCTTTCCTTTATTGTTGTCCTAACTTTTTGGCATTTTAGTGAGATGTTGTTTATGCAGAACCCCAGCAGATACTGGCATTGTAATCAGGACATCTTCTGAGGTTTTTTGTGCAAAGAGGTTGCATCAGAAAGAGAAAGAGAGTTTTAAGGGTTCAAGGCTTCTGATGTGTACCAAAATGGAACTCTCTGTCTCTCATTCATCAACCGCACAAGAGAATGATAAAGATGAACCAGAACCACTCTCTGCTGCCAGGTGTCGCATTTACAAAAGATCAAGCAGCAAGGTCAAGGTAGGCCCCAATCCATTAAGACTTGTTTATATATTATTTTTGTGTTTAATGGCAACTTGTTAGCTATTGGTTTCAGAATGGTGTAAAGGAGGCAATATTCCATCGGTTAATGAGGCCAATCCAGCATTCAGTAGATGAAATAGATGGCTTAACCTCACACACAGACACAGTAATTAATTAATTTCTATCTGTATTCTGCATTGGGTGGGAGTGGGACAGGGCATAATGATTAAGCAAAGCTTGTTTTGTTGTTATCTTGGCAGGAAGTCCAAGATTTGAATAACTTCTCTACATTCAAGGAAAGACTCGACTGTTTGCAGGTAGGTATAGTTGATATTACTTGTCTTTCTACCCTTGTAATCCATGTCTTTTCTTCTTCTTATTAATTATTAGTTATTAATTATTAAAATCCAGAGGACAGAAAAGCAGCGTGTCTGTTTTGGTAAATCTGGCATACATGGATGGGGCCTCTTTGCAAGGCGCAAGATTCAAGAAGGAGAAATGGTAGGTAGTAGTGGATTTTTTTTTTTTTTTTTATAATAATAGTAAGTTTGATTTATTTAATGTTTGTGGGAATGCAGGTGCTTGAATATCGTGGTGAGCAGGTGAGGCGCAGTGTTGCAGATTTGAGGGAGGTGCATTATCGGTCTCAAGCCAAGGATTGCTATGTGAGTCAGTTCTGCAATCCTGTTGTTTATTTATTTAATATAATAAAAGTAAAACAACTATAAACTATTCTATTTCTTCTTGTTTTTGGCTTGCATTGTAGCTCTTCAAGGTCAGCGATGACATTGTAATTGATGCCACAAATAAAGGGAATATAGCACGATTAATCAATCATTCGGTAATTGAAAACCATCACCCCTTTCTTTTCTTTTTGTTTCGTGGTAATTTAAAAAGAAAAAAAAAACATTTATTTGTTTTTCTTGCAGTGCATGCCAAATTGCTATGCTAGGATATTGAGTATGGGTGCAGATGAGAGCCGAATAGTTCTTATAGCCAAAACCAATGTATCTGCTGGCGATGAGTTAACGTATGTATTGCATATCTTGCTTTTAAGGAGGGTTCATTACTTTATTACTTCATTAATTTTGAATATTTAATTGTGAATGCTTCAGGTATGACTACAAATTTGATCAAGATGAGCAGGATGAACTTAAAGTCCCTTGTTTATGTAGGGCTGCCAATTGTAGAAATTTCATGAATTAGTTTCTTTTACACATTACCACTGTTAACCATTTTTTATACACAACTACACAAGAGGTATGCATATCAGCATATTATTTGAAGACCACCTTACAGTTTTCCTGATTATCCTCTCCGAGGCAGAGGTATATATTAGGAGATGAATTTACTACAAGCATATGTAAATCTAACAACCCTCTTTCTTGTTTTAGTTTGCTAGGCAAATGAACACAGATGAATTTTCAAGTTGGTTCTTTTTTTTTTTTTTTTTGTCTAGGTGTGAGTCCATTAATCTTGTTGGTATGAAAAAAAGGAATTTTAGTAATGCGTTTGTTATCAATGGGTATTATTATTATATTGATTTATGATGTAATTTGCTCCAGTAGTTTTAACTCACGTTTTATACCAGGATGATTTTTACATATTGTTTTCAAGTTGGATTTGTGGGTCGATGGACCCTGTTCTGTTTAGTTGTTCTTGAAATATCTAGCTTAAGCCTCTCTTGGTGATAAACTTTGACATTTACTACAAGTAGCGTGCAAGAGGATGATTGTTACTAGGTCCGACTTCGATCGCCGGAGTAGGGAGGAGGGTTTGGTATGATGGACAAGCTGAGATGAAGGAGGGTGCAACTAGGGCTTCATGGGCTCAATTGTATGTAGTTCAAGCGCATCAGTTAGGGTTGCATGCTCGTCAATTGCAATGGATGAAAGAAGTCAAGGGTGGACTCAAGTGAATCGAAGGAAGCATGGGAATCAACAAAACGTTTTTGATCACCTTGGATCGAATCTGAGACAAATTCAGACCCACATATATGTGACACTCGTTTTTGGATAAAATATAAGTTATAGTGTAATATAAACTTAGAATGTAAAAATGTGTGTAAAAACTAAAATGATGTTTTGGAATTGTGTGATTCCAACATGTATTGCTAAAGAAATATTGTCCAGAGTAAAGAGCTTAATGTGTTAAGAAGTAGAAATTGTAAGCAGGGGTAAAGTAGGAAATTTGGGAAAATTTTATCATGCATCATTATTATATATATATATATATATATATATATATATATATATATAGAGAGAGAGAGAGAGAAAGAGAGAGATGACATGATTTCAAATCGAGAAAGTGGTTGATGTAAAATGAACAGTGGCGGCAACGTACCTTCATAAAGTCGCAGCGTGAAAGAGGTAAGGCACGACACAATGGAAGTAGGATGCTATAATTTTTATGGCTAAGTTTTTAACGACAGACAACAAAAGTGTTGTATATAGTGAAAAAGTAGTGACGTGACAAAGAGGACATGACGCAAACAAACATATACCGTGAAGCAAAGTCGATAAAGGGGTAAAAATCGGATAAAACAGAAAGGAGTCGTTTTCAATCCCATTATTTTACCTTCCTCGTTCCAGAGTAGAGAAACACAAAGAAAAGAAGGTTTGATCGGATTTTCAAGGGAGAAACAAGGGGAGATCAAGAGGAAGCTTCCAAAATGTGTTAATCACTTCTAGAATCAAGAGTAAGTTCTATATACTAGTTAATCTTGTTCAAGTTGGGGCTAACCCACTTGGCTAACAAGGAGGTATTGAGTTTTATCCCAAACATATACTAACCTCGTCGTTCAAAAAAAATTTAATCTTATAATTTAGGGTTGATATGAGTTTGGGTTGTGATAACCCTAATCATAGTAAACGATTCCTATGTTGAAATTTTGATGTATAATAATAAATAAAGGCTATAATAACATGATTCTAAGCCATTGAGTTGTAAATTGAATTTAATTGTTTGAATTGGAGATGAAATTGTTATGAACCCTAGAAATTAACATTTAGGGTTTTGATAAATTGAGTTCATATCATATCTAATGAAGTTATATAGATGATAAATTCGTGGAATATAAGTAAATTAAGTATTTAAAGTTGTATGAGATGTATTAGGAATGTGAATTACGACAAAGTAAAGAAAATGGAAACATAAGGTGAGAAAGAGAGTGGTATTGTAGTGAGAAATCGTGTCTTAATGCAATAAGACACTTAAGTTATCCATGTATGAAGTTATTGAAGTTATTATATAATTGAGTGTTATGATTTTAATGTTGTGATGTTATAGAACATATAAGAGAAATTACATAATAAGTTATAACACTCAATAGATGTGTTATTACTTAGGTTTCGGTGAAGCAAGGACTAGGATCGGGACGGGATCTTAAAAATTCAGAACAAGTTATTCTCAAACGATTCAAGGTGAGTAATTTAACTTTAACTCTTGTGATATATTTTGGAATTCAAACTAGATTTGTTTAATTGTATCTATGTTATGAATTGCCATTAAAAGTACTTTAATGAGACATGTCTTGGTAAGACTTATAAAGAGTATAAGTTCATTATACTAAAAGTATTTAAGGAGTTTAGTATATAAGATGATTAGGGTCATATATGAGTATGTGATATCCTTAATCAAATCAAGATCCTCCTAATGAGTTATAGGTGGGCAATATTCAATAGAATGAATGTGTTGAGAATAACAAATCTTCATAAACTTATCATTGAATTATATATCTTTTTTTATATCCTTTGTTAATATTTATAATTTATGTTAAGGTATATTGTGTATATATTTGGAAACCTGTTTTGTTAGAATTGTGTAGGAAGGATTGTAAGTGTCAAGTTATATTAATATTTGGATTGCAGCTTCTAATCTCAAAGTTGGTGTGGTTGATAAACACACATATCCTACCCATCCTGTTATACGGGTGGATGTTACCTGAAATTGACCCATATTTCTACCCAGAGTATATATTGAAGATGTGTGTAACTTTCATTATCAGAGATCAATTTTATACTCACCTTGTTATCTTCTCTCATTCTCTCTGTACTGTTCTTAGGGTTTCATCATTAGGGTTTATTCTTCGATCTTTATTATATTGTTCTTAGATGAGGAGTTTGTTGATTTGAAAGCATAGTGAATTTGTAGTGAGGACTTTCTTTTGTAAGTTTGCTTGAAAACTAATTGGTTCTTATGAAATGAGAACTGTTGATGTTGTGGTATTTTGAGTTTGTAGTGATTTTGTGTTTGTTAGATGGTATCAGAGCCTCGTTTGGCCATTTTTGATCTGATTTCATTTTGATTTTTGATCAAGTTAGGGTTTCAGGTCTATGTTTTAGGGATGATCTTTTCTCTAGATCTGGTTCTAATTATTCTATCTATTGTCGGATCCTGGGGTTGATTGTTCATTTATGTTTCTAATCAATTGTTGGTTGCTTGTTCTCTAAGATCTGTTATCAGATATTGTGTTTTTCTTAGAGCTTTTTTCAGCTCTTGTGTTTGGTGGTGTTCATCAACTTGGTAGTATTCTTGTCACACATTTGAGAGTAAACGTTTTGCAATAGCAGCAAACGATTAGGTTTAACAATTTGTTAAGCCTAACGGTCAATACTATTAACAACGGTCAATGTCAAGTGTGTGCAAACAAGATACTATTAGCAGTGCTTGTTCTGGCATTTGAATGCCTTGTCTTCTTCAGTGGTAAATCTGTGATTCAGATTTATCGAAACAACATTGCTGCTCGCTCAGTATTTTCTGTGGATCACTGTAAGTCTCGCACGATATTCCTTTATTGTTTTTTTATGTTCTTGATTTATCAGCTATCTGCTGATCACGACTCTTCACGTCTGTAATTCAACGTGCTCTAGCCTTGTTAGTGCTATGAATCTTGTTTGAATTATAGAATCTATCTTGTGAATTATCGTGCTTAGGGTTCAGATTCCTGATTCATCCGTGGTTTGTGATTTTTGGCAATCACGACTGGAACACCAGGAGAGAGTTCTAACAAGAATGAATTAGTGGATTTTGATGATCCTCTTTACTTGTATCCATCTGATAATTCTGTTACAACTATTATTAGTTTCAAATTACTTGGTACTGGAAATTTTCAAATATGGAAAAGCTCTATGACTAGAACCTAAAAGGCTAGGAATAAAATTGGATTTGTTGAAGGAACTGAAATTAAAGATAAGAAAGATACAGTTAAGTCTCTTAAGTGGGATAAGGTAAATGCAATTGTATGTTCTTGGATTGTTAATTCCTTGTCTGATTCAATATATGTTGGTCATGCATGTTTTGAGTTTTCTCTTGACATTTGGAATGATTTGTGTGCTACTTATTACAAGGCTGATGGTTATGTAGTTTTTAATGTACATCAACACATAAATTCTCTTACTCAAAGTGGATTGTATGTATTTTATTATTATAACAAATTGGACGGTCTTTGGAAAGAATTTGATGGGTTGACCAAGTGTACTAAGTGTGTCTGTAAAGCTGTTGTTTAGTCTAACAATCATTCTAAACTAATGAAATTAATGCAATTCTTGAGTGGCTTAGATGATTCTTATAATGAAGTTAAGAGTCATATTTTGATTATGGAGCCTTTAACTGATGTTAAAACTGCTTTCTCTATTGTGTCAAGGGAAGAATCTAACTAGAAATATGGTTCTATTTCTACTTTATCTAATAGTAATCAGTCCTCTGGCTTTGCTGGTAAACTGAATGATGTTAGAAAGTTTAAAACTAGAAATTCTGGTCTTGTTTCTAAAAACTGTGGTCTAAAAGGTCATCAATAGAAAGTGTTATAATCTCATTGGATATCCTAAGGACTATAAACCAAGGACTGAGTTTAATAAGACTTTTTCTGTGTCTGGAACTGCTTCTAATGTAAGTGATACATGTAATATCTCTGTTGGTACTTCTGATAAGACAAATCAACATTTTTTAACAAGTGAACAATACTCTAAAGTCATGTCTCTTCTAAATGACAAGAGATTTTCAAAAGAAGCTTCAGGAAATGCTAACATGGCAGGTATAAGTTGTAATAATGTTTTTGTTAAAAATAATAAATGGGTTGTTGATTTTGGTGCAAGTCAACATATGATAGCTACAAAATCACAACTTGTGGATGTAGTTGATGTCTCCAAGTTAAGTCTTAGAGTAGATCATCCAAATAGATCTACTGCCTAGATTAACAAGACTGTGAACATAAACCTATCCAACTCAATGACTTTAACTGATGTTTTTGTTATACCTAATTTTCATGTTCATCTTCTCTCAGTTCACAATTTGTGTAAGGATAATAAGTGTAAAGTTATTTTTGATGAAAATAATTGTACTGTTCAGGATTCACTGTCCATGGAGACTATGGAGACTGGTAAAGAATCAAGGGGTATGTATTATCTTGAAAATAAATCCTTAGGTATGAAAA